CTCTGAATAGATTAAAACTCCAGATGAGTACTAGATGGGTATTCTCTTTGACTCCTATCAAAAAAAATTAACTTTGTTTAGATAATGCCAGTTTGATATGGTTGGTACAGGTCTTGGAACACGTTTTTTTCAGGTTGCATCTGGAGGTGGTGGGGTTGGAGATGCTGTTCAAGAACCAACAACAGGCAACTGGAGAGGAATGCTGAAAACTTCAAAAGCTGAGGAGTTACTAGCTGAGGAAAAATCAAAACCAATTCCAATTATGCCAGCCAGTCCACAAAAAGGCCACGCTGTGAATTTGCTGGATGTGGTAAGCTGTAGAATTTGGTTGAGGACAAAGAACCAAATTACCAAGAAAGCATTTTAAAAGACAGAAGGAACTGGTATCTCAAAAATGTATTGTTATGTGTTGTCATTTCAAAATGGCACAACAGTAAATTTGTTCTCCGCTTCACCCAATTTAGCCAGTTCCTGTTGCACGAAAACTATCTGCCCGTGAACAGCGAGATTGTGAAGTTATTGAACGACTCATCAAATCATATTTTCTTATTGTCAGAAAGAATATTCAAGACAGGTTAGTATTATGTATATAAATCAGACTAGAATACTGCTGGATAATTTCTTAATTGTTTTGAAATACATGTATTTTTAAAAATTTAGGTTTTTATTCTCAAAGAAATGGATTATTTGATTGTTTTGCAGTGTGCCAAAGGCAGTAATGCATTTTTTGGTTAATCATGTGAAAGATACTCTTCAGAGTGAGTTAGTAGGACAGCTGTATAAATCATCCCTATTGGATGACCTTCTGACTGAATCTGAGGACATGGCACAACGTAGGAAAGAAGCAGCTGATATGCTAAAGGTAAACTGTGAATTTTTAAAAAATTTTCTTATTTGGGTTGTAGGTATAAACATTTATTATTTAAAATAAAATTATTTAAAATTACAACCCAACTTATTTGGTTTGTAGGTATAAATATTATTTAAAATGCTTTAAATAATACTTAAAATATTATTAAAAAATATATATAGTCTTCATATGATGGCTAAATATTACTCTGTTGGCACTTGATTCAATTCAAATTTCAGCAAAGATATGAATCAACCACATATAAAATGGAGAGATTATCCCATATTAATTCAGATTCTTTGGTATTATAATTTAAACATTTATAATTTTTATCATCTTCTTTAATGCAGGCATTACAAGGAGCCAGTCAAATTATTGCTGAAATCCGAGAGACTCATCTTTGGTGAAGAGAACTATGTAATCCTGAGATTTTGTTGACTTGTTAGTACTGCCTACTTGAGTAGAATTTTATTTATGAACTCCTGTGTCTTGCAGTGATATGAATCTGCTCATGTGAAGACTGGCTATAAACTGAAAATTGTACTCTGTATTCCAGAGCAAATCACACATTTAATCCAAATAATAAATGGCTATTTCTAAAATTTCCTAGTATATACAAAATACATCAAGTCTGTCTTGTGACAGTTTCATTTGAACTTAAAAGGAACCGTTAATAGTCCTAGCTGTACAGCAGTTTGTCTGTGAATAAATGACCTGTGTGATATGCTAGTAGTCTTAAAGCTGCTGCCATAGCCCTTCGAGAAGAATGCACCAAGACGCCATTTCATACGACTATGATGCATGCACTATATAAACCGACCTGGCTTTGAAAGAGATGGGTTGACAAATTACTCACGTAGTCACTGTTCCAATTATCTTTTGATTTAGTTTTATTGAGCTTCTCTGCAACCTTTGATGTGTCTGTAAGAAAGCTGAACACACGAGAGGATCTGTAACACTGACAGTGATGTGATGTGCATAATGTGTAGCTGCCGTCCTTCCACTTCTGGGTCCACTTTCCCCTGGTGCATTAAAAATTAAAATACCTTTGATCTTACTTAAACTTGGAAGCATGAATTATGTTTTACTGCATTAAGAACCAACCATCTAGCCTTGATTATCTGGTAAGACTTGGTCATGACCATTTCCTTTTAGTTTTTAGAAGAACTAGTAAATTCTCCTTGGCTTTCAAATATAATAGTAGTAATCCAGTAATCCATCTATAAATTGGAGTCCACAGACCACACTTCAAGATTCACTTGGAAGAGGGTCTTAGAACCAAATACTGTACTGATTTTAAGTATATCTTCTTTCTCTAAGTATTAGTTGGTAATAGTTATTACTTTTGCTTCACACCAACAAAGTAGATTAGAACACACAAATACATACATATATATGTTATAAAGAGCCTTCATAGACGTGATCACATTTGATTCTCATGGAACTCTAGATAGACATGATTTTTAATCAAACTTTTAAGGTAATTATAGATCCACATGCAGATATAAGAAATAGAGCAGACAGGTTCCATATATTTCAAACCCAATTTTCCAATTTTCCACTGAACTGGTAACATTCAAATCTATAGCAGTTCAAATATATACAGTATCTCAACTATGACACTGACTTTCATGCAGAAGATGCAGAACATTTCTACCACCACCAGGTCCCCAAATGTTGCCTCTTACTGGCCACATCCATTCCCTACTGCCTTCCACCCTCCTTAACACCTGGCAATCACTCATCTGTTCTCCAATTTTATACTTTGCTCACTTGTGGAATTTTATCCACAGATTTCCCCTGTTCTCTGAAAGCAGATCGTTCCTATGAAATGTTTATAGGCTGAAACGGTGTGAAGAAAAGAGGCAATTACCTCAGGACACATCTTGCTAAGAAGGCACAAGATAAATCGAGATGAAGCACAGGGTTCCTGGGCAAAGGGAACTGGAGCCTTTTCAACAAACGGTGCCAGAGTGTTTGGACTTCATATGCAGAAAACAAAAACAAAACGGAACTTTGACCTAACTCTCTTAGAGGGCTTCCCTGGTAGCTCAGATGGTAAAAGGATCCGCCTGCAATGCAGGAGACCCCGGTATGATTCCTGGGGCAGGAAGATCCAATAGAGAAGGAACAGAATACCCACTCTAGTATTCTTGGGTTTCCCCTGGTGGCTCAGCTGGAACTCTCTTATAAGAAAATTAACTAAAAATGAATCAGAGACTTAAATGTAGAACATAAAACTACAAGAACTTTAGAAAAGTAAACAGAGGAGGAAAAATCCTTGAGAGCTAGCTGTAGATTAAAGTTCTTAGTTTTGATAAAGTAAAAAAGAAAAAACTGATACATTAGATTTCATCAAAATAAAAATCTTTGTTCTGTGAAAGATGCTTTAAGAAGATGAAAAGACAAGTTATGGGTAAGTAAAAATTTTACATTCCACACATGTGATAACGGACTAGTGTCTAGAATACAAAAAGAATCTGCAAAATTCAAAATACAAAGCAATCAGAGGATATAGGCCAACAACATGAGAAGACATTTTAGGAAGGAAAATGTTTAGGTGGCAAATAAGCCCATAAAAGATGTCCAACATCAATATTTATTGGAGAATTAAATTAAAGCCACAAGGAGCTATCACTGTATACCTATGAGTGTGGTTAAATAAAAAATAAGGACAACACTAAATCCTGGTGAGACTGTAGAGAAACTGGGTCACTCACGTTACTGGTAAGACAGAAAATGGTGTGGCCACTTTGGAAATCTTGGCAGTTTCTTAAATAATTAAACATACAGAGATCATATAATTGAGCAATTCAATCCCTAGACATTTTATCCCAGAAGAATGAAGATACTTGTTCACATCAAAAAATGATAAAGAATGTTTATAGTAGATTTGCTCACAATAAGTCCCGAGCTGGAAATAACACAGATGACTTTCAACAAGTGAAAACCACCTTTTGTTGGCCCTTAAACTGAGTGAAGTTCTGAAATGTAGAGATGATCTCTGACATTTATAATATATGCCTGTATGTTTTTATGATGTAAATAAAATTGCTAGTATGAAGTGACATTAGAGTCTGTCAATAAAGGAATTGTTTGTAACTTTACTCCCAGAAGATATAAACTACAGCTTTTACATGAATCTACTTTGGAACATAGCAAAACAGCTTATACTATATGCAAGTTTTATAACTATTTTCCTTGTAGATTTTAGTAATTGAGATATTTTTTCATCTCCATTTTTGCATATGGAGATAATGACTTGCTCCAAGTAATCAAGGTAAAAAAAAAAAATAAATAATGGCTAGAATTTGAACTCTAAAGCCATGCTTTGCTGCCTGTAAGATTTTCTAGAACAAATCTGATTGTTAACTATTTTGTGTGTATGTGTGTGTTTTACTTGATCCTCAAGTGATCAAGTGAAATTAAGGAAATCAAGAAAAATCAATGATCTGATTTTTTAGATGCTGCAAACGGTTCTGGAGAATCAACTTGCCTAAAGAACATAGAGCTTACTTTGACTGAATCTTGATTCCAGATCCTTTAAATCTGACCTCAAAACTTCCCTTCCTGGAATATCTTTTGATATTCTCATATGTTTGGATATCTCCGTGTATATATTTTGCCTCTATTTTATCTTGTTGGTTACTTAACTTTTTGGTTCATCTCAAGCTGCAATCTGCTGGGGACAGAAGTTGAAACTTAAGACTAATTCAAAAGTTGATATAAGACATCGCTCCCTTTTTTACTGAGTTAAAATAAGGCTAATGAGTAAATTTAATTTCATGGAAACACAGGAGACTGGAACACTGAATTATAAGCTTTCTGAAAAGTCATGTACTGAATTTTCTTCAAAAAGAAACTATTTCTACTGTAATTTCTAATGCTGTCTATGGCTTCCTCTAACTTTTCTCCTTTTTTATAGAATTTGCTTCCCGAACAACAACAAAAATCCAGTGATATATTTACCTGATACAAGAGCAAGGACAGGATAGGAAACTTAGCATTTAGTTTTTCATAAAGCATAATCATTAAAAGAGATTAAACCTAGAAATCATGCTTTTCATGTGTTAGTGTTTAATATTTAAGGATCAGAAAATAAAATATTCCACAAACTTAACCAACCTGTATGAACAATGAAATTACTCACAGAGGCCTAGAATATACTCCATTCTTTGTTTTGAGTTGCATAAGTGAAGATATAAGTTTGTATATCTTGATAATGAATGATGATGTTTGAACACCAGAAGGATTTTCATCATAGCTGAAGCCATTTTATAATGTAGAAGTTCCTTTTTCCTATTTTAAGTAATGAAAGTCCATTTTTAAGAATATGTTGTCCAACAACTAAAACACTCTCAGGATTTGTTACTTGTTTATGATTTATACTGACTCCACCTTCTGTAATCATCCGATACCTAAAAATAGAAATGTTTAGTAACTAGATAAATCTAATCATTGTTGACCACTCCCAACAATACACATATATCATTGTTTCATTTAAATTTCAAAGGCTAATTGAAACCATCTAGCACTGAGTTGTTATCTTCATGTTTGCTAGATTCTGCCTCCCCTTTAGTTCTTCTAAAGGAACAGATGGAAAAAATTCAACTAAAATTTTAAAACAGGCTGAGCAACCCCACTATGCCCCTCAAATAAAGATGATACAGACTGAGCATGAGAGGGGCTGTGTGAATCTGTATACTTAGGGCCTCTGATCTTGTGATCTTCTCAAACTGACTATCCCTGAGCCAACTGATCCCAGCCTATTTATACAACTGTGGTCCCTTAAACCAATTCTCTAATGCTGGAGAAAACTTACCAGGTTAGACTTAATAAGAGAGTACAGTAATACTGTATAGAAAATTTAAGTTATTTTCAGCAATAAGTACTCTCAGTTTTCACTTTATTCTCAGACTAACCTAACATCTATAAGGAATGAGATGCCATTATCAGGAAAACACCATCTCTGGAAACACATGCTATGAAATATAACTGTAAACCTAAAAGTTAAATAACCTTACCCTCGGGGACCATCTGGAATGGCATTTGCTTTGCGGCATGTATCTAGGACGCTTGTTCCAGGGTCAAGAACTAATTCAGAAAATGAAGCCTCTTTAAACAGTTCTTTTAACTCTTGATCAGACATGACTTCCAGCGCATCTATGCTGCTGTGATAAAGGGCTTGTGTACACCTGGAAAACATGTTTTGAGAACCACATCAGGTTGACAGCTTATACAGATACATGTTCTACTACCCAATAACCAATTATGAAGTACCCATTATATTCCAGATGGGAAGTTTTTCAAACAGCAACATTTATCTTGTATAATTTATAAGCTTAATTCAGGACAATCTTTTTTCCTAGTAAGTGAAGTCTAGTATTTTAAGCCAGTTAACACTGACAGTCCTTGTTAGTGGTAAAAAGTAACTCTAAAACACTGGCTCCAAATGTTCTGCAGTCTCTTTAACTAATTAATCAAGTGATCATTATTCTACAAGGTCACCTTTTAGCAGAGGCCAGCCCTTCTTGTCCATGAACAAGCTTTGTTACTTCCGCAGCAAGTCGCTTCTGAGGACCCCGCTTTTCTGGCTCTGTGACATGCAGCTGCATGATGTGGTCAATCTCTGGAAGAGGCAGAAAAGTGAAGAGCTTCAGGTATCTTTGGGGTGAAAAAAAAAAAAAAAGCCTGTTAGGGTTATGTAACACAACTAGTTTGTCTCCCCCCCTCTATTTTAGATTATGGAATATAACATGCAAAAATGTACCAAAAATATGACAATAAAACATCATCACCCCGATTGAAGATTTACTTTTGCCATCTTTGTTTCAGATACTTCCTTTTTAAAAGTAATAGTCTAGACACAGATGACCCCATCCCCATCATATATATGCTTCTTGCTCCAGAGACATCATCAAAAATGCTCAGCTGGATGATTCAAGCCGGAATCAAGATTGCTGGGAGAAATGTCAACAACCTCAGATATGCAGATGATACTACCCTAATGGCAGAAAGTGAAGAGGAACTAAAGAGCCTCTTGATGAAGGTGAAAGATGAGAGCGAAAAAAGCTAGCTTAAAAATCAGCATTCAAAAAAGTAAGATCATGGCATCCTATTTCATCACTTCATGGCAAATAGATGGAGAAAAATGGAAACAGTGACAGATTTTATTTTCNAGCAAACTCCAGGAGATAGTGAAGGACAGGAAAGCCTGGCGTGCTACATTCACAGGGCTGCAGAGTCAGACATGACTTTGCAGCTGAACAACAATAACAGATACACAACAGTGCTCCTACCCAAAGAAGCATGATTGTATCATGTCCCCTCACCCTTCAAGGTAACCACTCTCCCAGCTTTGATGGTAGTCACTACCTTGTTTAGTATTTTTACCATCTCAGTATGCCTCCCTAAACAGCGTCACTTAGTTTTGCCTCTTTTTAGACTTTCTATAAGCAATCATACAGAACATATATTTTTTTGACTACTCTGGCACATCAGATTTCCTTGGTGGCTCAGATGGTAAAGTGTTTGCCTACAACGTGGGAGACCTGGGTTTGATCCCTGGGTCAGGAAGATCCTCTGGAGAAAGAAATGGCAACCCACTCCAGTACTCTTGCTGGGAAAATCCCATGGATGGAGGAGCCTGGTGGGCTACAGCCCATGGGGTCGCAGAGTCGGACACGGCTGAGCGACTTCACTCACTGGCACATCATGATGTTGGCAGTGCACCCATGCTGCTTTGTGTGCAGCTGCTGAATACAGCATTCCACATTAAAGATAGTTCACGATGTATGTATTTTGGTGTGGATGTTTTGTGTTGTTCCTACTCCTGGACAGTAGTTAATGGTGCTGCTACGACTATTCCCATGTATTTCTCTTGGTGCACTAATCTGTCAGGGATGTGCCCGGGGGAGGGACTGCTGGTATTAACACAAGTCATAAATGCATTCTACTGAGCTGGTACAGCCACATATTTTTTCCTAGTGGTTCTATATGTATAATGTAGTGCTTGACATTAAGCTTCTGACTGCTTAATGCCAAAGTATCCATTTCAAAGACACTGATCTCAAATAAACAACTGCCAATTGTATGTCATCAGTTCAGTCTCTCAGTCATGTCCGGCTCTTTGCAACACCATAAACCGCAGCATGCCAGGCCTCCCTGTCCATCACCAACTCCCAGAGTTCACCCACCAACTAGGTAAGGAACCAGGCTACCCCCACCGATGAAAATCCGCTTTTAGAAAACCCTGGGTGACTGAGATAACTGACTGCCTGGATGACCCCTCTCTAGCCTTCCCACTCCTTAGTTTTACCTGTTTTAAATTAGCCAGTGAAGAGTGAACCTGCGGAATCCTAGGCACCCAATAAAGGTAGAGCCCTGGGTGGGTCCTCCCTCCCTTTCTATCCTTGACCCACTGTGTGCCTGTGCCCTTCAGAAACTAAGTAATACATTTTACTTCTTAAGGTTCCCTGATGATTGTTGCTGAGTCGTGTTTCATAGTCATAATAAGGACCACAAGTCTAATCTAGTCACAAGTTTGGCACTGGCCAAGGAAATGTCTGTGGGGGCTCCCACAAGTAGTATGGGCCCAGGTGAGGGCCGCCTCCCCCTCCCCTGCCACCAGGCATTTCTAGCTGATGGTAACACTACCAACAGGTTGAGGCCCACATAACTGGCAAAGGCATAGTTGGCAGGACTGCACGACTACCCTTTAGCTTTGACTAGTTTACTAACTGGATAACCCAGATAGATAACACGTTTGCAAGGGTAGCAATGTATGCTGGAGGTTCATAATGCTATTACATCTTTTGCATATTGCCTCATGTTACCTCAGTACTCATCCGAAAATGTCACTGCTGCCACAATTCAACAATATCCGCAGTATTGTGATCAACAATCAAAGTCATGTCCTCTAATGAGATGATCAGACCACTAATTATAAAAGCCTTGATTGACTCCTAATGTACATGAAGGTCCTTTACATCTCAGGGTAAGGAGAGCTAAGGAGGGTGGAATGGATCCCAAGGCTATTATCACTGCCCGACCTGAGGCTCTGAGTGCAAGGCAAAGGAAAGGATACTCACATACGTCAGGAGGAAAGAGACCTGCCCTGTGAGTGAGTCATACTGGGACTACACTTCCTAACCTGGATGAATGAAACAACCCTGCAACAGGAAAACAGCAAAGAAGGAAATACAGCTGAGGCATGCTGTTCCTCTGTCCCCCGAACCCGATGGGATACCAAGGGTTCAGAATCTGGTGTGATGTTGTTGAACAATGGACAAACATAAAAGCTCAGAACATCTTGTGCCAATGCCTTGTAAGAGCCCTGAGGCGGTACAGCAGCTCCTCGATAAGTCAGAACCCTGACGGAGGCTTCCTGGGCGTGGCTTACTGCTGCTGTGTACCAATACGCCAAGGCTCTATCTAGCGTTACGCTCCAGACATCGAGGGCTTTCCCAAAGACCCTGTGGTAACCTGCCATTGGAGGGAGAGCCCAGTCCTGGGGAGGATGACTGGGACACCCTGAAAAGGGAGGCAGCCACCTATGAAGAAGGCTCACGGGGATGTCTTCCACAAACTTTCTGGTGACAACATGTAAGATTAAGGTAATGAGAATCAGGAAGTAAACATAGATCCGACATTACACTTTAGCTGAAATTCTGTGCATAAGGAAGATAAAGAAGGGGTTGATTGGCAACTGCAGGTTTTTGGAACCTAAATTGTTACTCATTGCTGCTGAAATGCATCAGCTGGCTGGTATCTAAAGATCCTAAAATCTACAACCTTCTCAGAGATCTATCTGTCCAGGATACATGTTTCCTTCCTCTAAGAAACCAAAGATCTTGAGTCCCCTCAGATTTCCCCTGAATGGGATAGAACAAAGCAACATGCCTCATGAGATACCATTGCCACCAATGGAAAGGCTGACTGGGTTATAGGCCTCCAGTGAGGATGAAGAGGGAGAAGAAAGGAAGGCAGATGATCCTAGAGCCACCAGTACTGGTACCAGGGCCCTCCCTTGCCTCATCTGGATATTTTACTGCCTGACTACTCTGGGCCCATCCTTCCACCACAGTGATTATTGCTACAGGCTTGTCTCCTGCAGTGCAAAACTGGCATGGTCCAATTGGTTTATCATTTCTATGACCAGAGTGACTTCAATGACCCCTCTTCATTCTAACCCTGAGTCTCTTTGACCCTAAGTCCAGAGAACTCTTTTTACAAGGTGCTCTGTCTAATCATGGGGTAATGCTTGTGCATTTTACTGGGTCTGTCAAAACCATTCAAAGGGCACTGGAGAGCACTGACAGGGTTCCTAGACATGGAGGAAATTACTCATCATTAAACCGCCAGTACACTCAGGTACAATGTGTACTAGGCCTTTTCATGTTCTGGAGGCAACACATCCCTCACTTTTTACCAATTCTTTGCCACAATCACATGCAATGCACCACCTTTCACTGGGGCAAGCCCAACAATACATTTGGGAAGCTGCCCAGCAGGCAGGCTGATGAGCCCTACCTTTAGTCCCATCTGGCTCCACATTCCAAGTCAGTACTTGACCATATCTGATTGTCTCCTTGGAGTCTCTGGACCAAATATAAGTCTAGTTACTTTCCTATGGATTTTGGATTAAGTGGCTAACCCAAAAGGATTCTACTGGGTTCTTTTAGAAACTGAGGCCCTAAACAGCCCCCAACCAATAAACCACCTAATGCCCTGGGTTAGAGACGCGTCCTTGGTAAAATGAAAATGGTACCTTCAGGAGAGGGCTAACCTGGATATCAAAGCTTTTAAAAATTACAGGAGAATGGCACTTCCCTCATGATCAGCTCCTTGCCTAAGAACCTTCTGGAGTTGGTAGTGGTGCTCCTGCTGCTCGGGGAGTCCCTTGGGACCAACTGTCTGAGATGGACAGGGAGTCCATATTCTTAACCAATGACAGCACCACCACTGTATGTATGCACTGCAGCTAGCTGGAGGACTGCAGCATTCCCCCTGGTCTCAGGGGCCTCTCTAGCTGAAGAAGGCAGTCCTGACTCAGCCCAACTGGCAGAACTTGTAGCTGTTCACTTAGCCCTTGAAAGTGTAAGTCGCTCAGTCATGTCCAACTCTTTGCAACCCCATGGACTATGTAGTCCATGGAATTCTCCAAGCCAGAAGACGAGCTGTTCCCATTTCCAGGGGATCTCCCCAACCCAGGGATCGAACCCAGGTCTCCTGCATTGCAGGCAGATTCTTTACCAGCTGAACCACCAGGGAAGCCCTTAGGAAGCCAAAAAAAGAGAATGTTGGCAGACCTACATTTTCATAGACTCCTGGGCTACTGCTAATGACCTCGTTTTGGTCTGGCTAATGGCTAAGGGACAATTTTCTCATATAACACAAGCCTGTTTGGCCCAAACGTGGAAGGAGTCCCTAGTTCCTATCATTGCTACTCACGTTTTTCTTCAGACTACCTGCTCTGTGTGTGCGTGCTAAGTCGTTTCAGTCGTGTCTGACGCTTTGTGACCCTATAGACTGTAGCCCACCACTCTCCTCTGTCTAAGGAAGTCTCCTGGCAAGAATACTAGCACCACCTGCTCTATGCCAGAAGCCATTTCAACAGTACTGCAGACTGTTGCAGTACTAAGCCCGCCACACTCTGCCCAGCACACACCCTACCAGCTCAAAAAACTGGGCTCCTTGGGTCACTAAGGAATTCAGGCCTTAACAGCTTGGGCTCTAGTGAGCGGACTCACCATCATCTTCTTAGCAGCAGTCAAAGTTGTAACAGATGATGGTATTCTCTGTTCCCAAACCAATGGAGGATATTCAGATGGGGACATATTCCCTAGGGAGACCAACCATGTTCCCACTGGCAGTTAATTTCACCAGCCACTGCCCTCTTCTCCTGGGGCCTCCAGATACGCCTTCATTCATGGGACTTCTCTGGATGACGAAAATCTCTGGCCTCAGTAAATTTACTTTTGTCCCCTTTGGATTGCCAGGCATTACTGACTCTGACCCACTTTACCCCTCCAGAGACTAAACAATGGGCTTTCCAACATAATATTTTTTGAAATTTCCCCAGGCATCTGATTGATGCCCCAGGCATCTGGCCTCACTGAGCACCATCAACCTCCTTAAAGAGATACTCCTGAAATTACTCTCAGGCAACTGGTTCCCAAAATGGACTTAACTCTTGTTCCAGACCCTCATCTTGCTTAATTCTCAACTCTTGGGCCTTCACATCCTATATACCACATCCTATTATACACTCACCCAAATCCCACTGTTGGTCCCCTCTGGCAATCCTCAAGATACCCTCTGAGAGAAGTTTTTTCCCCGACTCAATAGTGTTTTTTCATGTTCTGTAGTAAAGTCTTAGATATTTAAAAAATTTAAGAATTATTCCTAAATTATTTTTGATGATCATTATGTCAAATGGCATTTTTTGGGAAAAATTCACTTTTTCTTTGTTGCAGGTGTATTTCTCATTAATTTATATTCTACCAAAAGTTTGACATATTATGAAACAATGAGAAAAATCACTTAAAAAAAGGATCTTCTTTTATGTTAAAGAAAAGGAACTTTAGAGACAATGGTAAAATAAAAGTTTACGATGAAAGGAGTAAAAAACTAGAATATGCAAGCAATTATGTCCCAAGTACCTGCTAGATGTAGATCATAAACTTGGCTCTAACTTTTTTAGTACCCACAGTGGTTTTCTGCTTTAACCAACAGTGTTTAATGACAATGTTACATGATGTACTGCCTTAAATAGAATATACATTAAAGTAAACAAAAAACCAAAAAAACTATGAAGGGATGAAAGGTACAGAGAGACTCAATGACTAAAATTGTATCATGAGCTTAATAAACTTAATTTTTCTCAGCACACAATTATTAAGAACTCACCTTTCTACCAAATCATCTTGTTGCCTGAGAAAAAACTGATACAATTCAAATGGAGATGTCTTATCTCTGTTTAGCCAAACAGCATTGCCAGCAGACTTGCCTAGTTTCGCTCCAGTTGTACTTGTAATTAGAGGAACAGAGATTCCAAACACATCTTCTCCAGTCAACCTATGCATAAAGAAGAACTTTATTATGTGCTTCAAGCTCAAGTGGTGGTAGATACTGCTAATCATTCTGACTTCAGTGTGGTTTTTTGCTCTAAGAAACCTTCCTTAACCATCTAAACCAGGATTCTTGTCCATCTTTCTGCTTTCACAGCACCCTATTTTGACATTCGTCATTCTGAACTGCAATTGAACCAGTGACTCTGGGCAAGCCAAGGGGAAATGCCACATAACTGGGGCCTAGAAATTTTTAAAGGTTGGGTGGGAAGAGGAGAAAAAACTAGGTAAAGGTGTGGTCAGGTAGAGACACTAAAAGAGGTATTTTAAAGGATTTTTTAAATGAGTAGCATATGAGTTAGCCCTGTATTTCATCTCCCTCAGGAAATGCCATTAAAGATACATTATTCGCAAATATTTGGTTTTGAAAAATTTTTTTTCGAGATGCCAACTAATGACTAACACTTCACTTCAAGGAAGGTGCAGAGCAAAAGCAGAAACTACTCAAGGTGGCCCAGTCACGGTCAGGTTATAATGTCTTTCAAATTAGAAACACAGAAAAAGCTTAGAAGCAGCAAACAGATACAATCTGAATCCAGGCTAGTGGGGTCTATTTCCTTCAGAGCTCTAGAATATATCCCATACCTAATATCATTAACTCAGCACTTTAGTTCTCATTAGCCAGTGATATAAAATTAACTCCGTCAGACTCTTAGGGGAAATAAAACCAACAAGGGCTGAAAAAAAAGGGCGTCACTCCACAATACTGACAGTGCATTACAAGCTATTTGTGTGTAACTTATTTGACCCAAGATTTCTCCCGGCCTTTAGGCGCTTACTTGTGGATGAACTCGTATCCAGACATGATATTGCCCAGCTGATCTGATCCACCCAGCTGGACCCGGCATCCGTAATGCTGGAACAGGTAGTAGAAATCATAGGCCTGGAGCACCTGGTATAAAAACTCGGCTAAACTCATGCCTTCGGGGCTCCTGAGCCTAGCCTGCACACTCAGCCTGCTCAGCAGCGTTCCCATGCGGAAGTGGCCACCCACTGCCGCTAGGAAGTCCACCAGGTCCTGCTCCTGGTACCACGCCGAATTGTCCAGCACGGTGAAGCTGCCCCAGGTCCGCCCATTTGCAAAGAGCTGCTGGTGATTAGTCGCCAGGGCCTTTAGCCCTTGGCTCAGGGCACGCGCGTTGCTTTGCACACGCTCCGCATCCAGCGCCTCGCGCTCCTTGGTACGACCGCTTGGGTCTCCCAGGCGCGCCGTGGCGCCTCCCACCAGCGCGATCACGTTGTGGCCCGCTCGCTGGAAATGAAAAAGGCCCAAAAGCGCCAGCAGATGCCCGACATGAAGCGAGTCGGCCGTGGGGTCGAAGCCGCAGTAGATGGTCTGGGGAAATTTCCCCCCGGTGCCGCGGTCGAAGAGCTCTGGGAGCTCTGTCTTTGTACCCCTCTCGGGGAAGAATTCCTTGAACAGACCCCGAGCCTTCTGCACCGCCAGAAACCCCTGAGCGGCCGAGTGGGCCTCACGCAGCCCCAAGGACAAGACTCCTGACAGGCCTTGGGTACCAAGCCCCTGGCTCCGGAAAATGTACCGCAACATGGGCGCCGCCATCTTGGAGGCGGCCCGAAGGGAATGCTGGGACCTTAGAGGCCCACCACACCCCTGAATTCCCGCCTCTGGAAATTCCTATAGAACTTGTCAGTGTTTTTCTGCGCATGCCCAAGTGAGGCGGAGCGGTTACTTATTGATCTCCTCAGCCTCTGAGTTCTGACTTCCTGGGTGGGGTTTTCGCTAAAAGTCGGGTAACCGTAAGTTCCGAGACCTTATTTTCCTCCTTGGTAACGTGGATGTGTTTATAATAGTTCCTACTTCAGAGAACCGATGTGAGGATTAAGAATTAAGACCTGAGAGTTCTAAAATGTTATTTTTTGTTTAAACTTAAATTACCGTTTTTTTGTCACCTAAGAAAAGACGTGATGCACAAATTCTTTGAAATCTTGGTCCTATGCAAAAATTTTTTCAGAGGTTGTGAGAGGTTAGGAATTGGTTTAACCTCATGGAGAGATACTGAGGTGTCTTGGAGATGCAATCAGATTCCCTAAAGGATGGGAACACCTCAGTCACCAGTATTTATTAGCTTCGCCAGGAGGTGGCAGCCTTGTCTAAGCTATAACTAGATATAATCCAATGAATTAAATGCAAAAGGCTCTGTTTAATTCATTTACTTCTATTACAGGTAACCAAGTGGGGCACAGCTTTGGCATGTGAGTTTTCAGTCGTGTCAGACTCGTTACAACCCCCATGAACTGTAGCCCGCCAATCTCCTCTGTCCATGGGATTGGAGTGGGTTGCCATTTCTTCCTCCAGGGGATCCTCCAGACCCAGGGATGGAACTCGCTTTTGCTGCATTACAGGCAGATTCTTTACCACTGAGCCATATGAGATTCAAATTAGTAATCACAGTGCCACAGCAGTAATCAGGTGCTATCAGTCCTCTCTGGGCTAGGAATGGGCCTCTCACTGGCAGCTGGCTGGCAGGGATCCAACTCCAAAACTGCCACTTATTTTTTAAAGTTTTTATTTATTTATTATTTTTGGCTGCATTGAGTCTTTGTGGCTGTGTATGGTGTTTCTCTGGGGATTCCCAGGTGGTTTAGTGGTAAAGAGCCCGCCTGCCAATGCAGGAGACGCCAGTTCGACCCCTGGGTCAGGAAGATTCCCTGGAAAAGGAAATGGCATCCCACTCTAGCTTTCTTGCCTGGAAAATCCCATGGACAGGGGAGCCTGATGGGGTGATGTCCCTGGGGTTGCAGAGTGGGACATGACTAAGCAGCTGAACACACGGCACAGGGGCTTTCTCTAGTTGCTGCAAGTAGGCGCTACACTGCGTCGTGGTGCGAGGGTTTCTCATTGCGGTGGCTTCTCTTGTTGCAGAGCTCTAGAGAGTGCCAGGCTTCATTAGCTGCAGGAGGGGTGTGCAGGAGTTGCAGTACTTGGTCTCTAAAGTATTTGTGGCGTGTGGCATTAGCTACTCCATGGCATGTGGTTTTGAACCTGTGTCCCCTGCTCTGTCAGGTGGACTCCTAAACACTGGGCCAACAGGGAATTCCAAAACTTGTTTTTAGTGTCTTATTTCTGGGACCATTTTCAATGCCAACTGTCTTTTTTTTTTCCATTCCATTTTTATTTTTTTTTTCCATTTATTTTTATTAGTTGGAGGCTAATTACTTTACAACATTGCAGTGGTTTTTATCATACATTGAAATGAATTAGCCATGGATTTACATGTATTTCCCATCCCGGTCCCCTCTCCCACCTCCCTCTCCACCTGATCCCTCTGGGTCTTCCCAGTGCACCAGAATGCCAACTGTCTTAAATCAAGTTACCTGGGAAAGAGACTCCAATGGGAGATATATGTGCATAATTACTGGGAACAACATCGGTACTGGGAAGATGGAAGCAGAGGGAGAAGTTGATTTGTGAACACATTGCAGTAGAGGCCACAGGCAACCCCCATAGGGGCTCTGGATCTGGGTTTCTGTTCAGTGTCAACCTGAATACAGGCAAGGGGGCGTGTTTTTGTACCCTGTTTTTGACCATTCCTTAAAGGTGGAATGCCCCTGGGCAAAGCTTTGGCAGAGAGTGAGATGCAGAAGAGGACTCAGCTGTGAGCCATCAGCAACCAATACTCTCAGCAGCTGGGAGATGAAGTGCCTTGCTCCGAAATGCAGGCATGTGGCCATGCTCTGAACCATTCTTAGAGGACCTTTTCCAGTTCTTAACATTATAAAGTCATTTAACAAAATGAAATCTTATTTTAAAAAATTTGTTTATTATGTATGTAATTATCAGTGAAGTGAATTTCATGAGAAAATTCAAAGAGTAATTTTGATAGAGTTTCATCAGGCTATGTAACATAGCCCCAAATCCTGTAATTTTCTTCCCCAAAGCACATAAACTGAATGTTTCTGTTTAATGTTTAGTTCAGTTCAGTACAATTCAGTCGCTCAGTCGTGTCCAACCAACCCTTTGCGACCCCATGAATCACAGCACGCCAGGCCTCCCTGTCCATCACCAACTCCCAAGAGTTTACCCAAACCCATGTCCATTGACTTGGTGATGCCACCCAACCATCTCATCCTCTGTTGTCACCTTCTCCTCCTGCCCTCAATCTTTCCCAGCTTCAGGGCTTTTTCCAATGAGTCAACTCTTTGCATGAGGTGGCCAAAGTATTGGAGTTTCAGCTTCAGCATCAGTCCTTCCAATGAACACCCAGGACTGATCTCCTTCAGGATGGACTGGTTGGATCTCCTTGCAGTCCAAGGGACTCTCAAGAGTCTTCTCCAACACCA